TGTTGAAGTGTTACAGCGGCGTTCACGCCTACCTCCCAACTGGGGCAAGTAAATATGCGGTAGATCGTTTCACTGGTAGGGACGGCGTAGATTCTGTAGAATAGGCAACTGGGCTGGCACATAAAGCAGCCTTCACAAGTGAGGCATCCACAACTGGATGAGCAATATGTATATCCTGGGTGTTCATTGGCTATCCTTGAAATTTCCTCGAGTTTGTCCTTTGGTGAGATGTTATCGCATGTATTTTCTTGGCAACTTCCGGCCAGGTAACATCTGTGTATCGACTCCGATTTTAACTGATGATCTCTGGTGAAGAATTCAAGTTTTCGGTGACATTTGAAGCGTATTCCATCAATTTTGAGGGATAGAGTAGCAAGTATAACGCCGTGATGATCTCTGATCGCAAGGCATGTTTCCTGTAGCAAAGGTTGAAGGGTCAGGACTGTTGCTTCATCGTAAGTACACGTCTCAGAGCCGTTGGAAAGATGACAAACTTTCTCAGTAGCCGTAATGGAAGTGACTTGTGCGCACTCTTGTGTACATTGTAATTCGAGTAGGGAAACGAGGATGCAAAGCAACAAACTCCTTTTTCTAGTTCGATGCCGTCGGCAGATGTATGGACGGACAGTGGATCGTTGTCGTAGAATTTTTGGTAGGTGACGAACCGGTAAGAATTTCCCTATGAACGAACATGCACATCTTATGAGAAGTTTGAAAAATTTCCAAAGTAGAGTGACAATCTTGATGGTCAAAAGTACCCATGGTAATAGAAGCGAAATGAAAAATATTCCGGTAGCTGCAAAAGCTATCTCTGTTAAAGTCCAGCATTGTGAGTTGTAGAGCTTCTGAAGACAAAATGTGCATCTCAGCATCTCGCATAAGGGATGAGCTCTGCAGTGTGCCTTCGTTTGATAAGGTCTCGAAGTGGTCCAGATAGTTAGTATGACCGTATAGTCGTATAGAACGATCGAGTTTGGGAATACTATATCATGCGAGAGAGCTTCTTCAATGAATACGCAGTACTGTTCTACACAAGCTTCGATGAATTCGTATCTGGATTTGATCGTCAGCGATAGTCCTCCCTTCACACATTCAGTGACGAGTTGTAAGTTATTTGAGGTCCCTGTCGTAGGGTTCGATATGAGTAGTATATCATCCGAGTCGTTCATTTTGTTTACTATGTTGCTAGCAAACCCATAGTAGGTTTTTGCCACAGACCCCCAGGCCTTGATTGGTATCGTTAAATTGCTTGTTGTGTTGAGGATCAGCATTGTCAAGGGGTTGTCATAGATGCAGAATAGACGTGCTCGTAGATGGCATTTGTGTCTCTTGCAGAACTGGGATGTTCCTGTGATAAACTTCGTTGCTTGACGCTTCCGACCCCTTTTGTCGAAGCATATGAAGTCGTGCTCGTTGACATAATCGCGAATGCTTATCACTAAGTTTTCTACCAACAGTAGCTCGTCATCGTATAGTTGTACTTGATTGAAGAAGCCTAGTTTCTTTGTTGTATCGCATGAGGAAGAAAATTCGAATGAACACACGTATTTGGGTTGATAATGTAGGACAGAAAGTGGTAATTGTTCACGATATGATAGCGTTGTGTATGAGCTTTCGCTAAAGGAACATGCGGATGCCCATGCAGGACATTCACATTTTTCTCCGCATAATGTTGACGATTTGTGTGAGAATCGTATATGACCAAGTGGGCACAATACTGGGAACCAACAGAAGGGTTTACCTTTAGTCTTGATTCGTGCTACGGCGATTCCTTTTGGTACGCAATTGGTTGCATACAATATCGTTTTCTCTTCCATAAGGTCGTCGGAACAGCGGGTGTAGTCTGTTTCGACCAATGAGTGAAGATTTTTCAAAGTTTGAGAGGTCGTTATCATAGTGCAAAGGAGCAAGCTGAGACAAAGTAGGGTGGTGCTTGCCTGTAACCTTGCCCTTGATCTGGTTATCATGGGATGTCTCGATTGCTCGGTTTCATCTGACGGCGGAGACACGTCTTCCTTCTTGAAATCCTTCGATTCGGGGCCTAATTCCATCTTGTGAACGAGGTTATTGGGGCGTGTGATAATTCGTTTTGAAGGCAGACGTATTTCAACTGATCTTCGAAAATTGTCTTGGGATCCGACCACTTCTCCCATTTTCCACTGTCCTTTGTTCAGAAACTCGTCATGTATAAGCACGTAGTCCCCCTTTTTTGGTGCATCATCTTCGTGCGATCTGGGCGTTTGGTGTTTGTCCTTGAAGTGTTCTCTCATAGCAGTAAGATATTCAGTTGTCCACCTTTTCCAAAAGTTAGAAAGGAATTTGTTTGTACGGCTCCAATCGGCCAACAACGTGGTGTGATTTGTTGGATTCGGTATCCAGTCTTCCTCGTGATTTTCGGGTTGACTGCTGCTAAGTAAGGCATACGGTCGAATGAAATCGATAGGACGCAACGGCAAATAGTTTGATTCATCAACATAGTAAGTAAGTGGTCTGGTGTTCACTATAGCCTCAGCTTCTTTGGCTATAGTCTTGATATCCTCAATGTTTAGTAGATTGTTTCCGATAGAAAATCTGTATGACTTCTTGAAAATATCTATCATCTTTTCATACATACCTCCTTGCCATGGACTCAGGCTTGGGATGAACTTCATCTCAATTCGTCGTTTCGAGCAGTAGTCAATTAAGTCCATGTTGGTCTGAGGCTCAGGGAGAGAAGCGAAGCAGCGATTGATCGTTTTGAAAGATTGGGCATTATCGCAGATAATCCAGGATGGGCATCCCATGGTGGCAAAGAAGCGTCGTAGAATGTGCAAGACGGTGTGCGCGGACATATCGAGGATGACATCTACGAATATAGCTCTACAATTCAAACATGTGAGCAAAATCATCCAATAGTTTCCAGTTGACTGTTCTTGAGTTCTGTATGAAAGGGGTCCAAAGAAATCCATGCCGGTGTTTTGGAAGGGGTACTGAGGCGGTCTCACTCTCCTGTCAGGATGAACTGGGAAAGGTGGAAGAGCGAAGGGCTTTGCTTGATATTTTTTGCACTTGAAGCAATCGCGGTGTATGATTTTCTTCACGACAGCCCTTCCTTGGGGAATCCATGCTTTTAAGCGGCAGAGTGTCAAAGTATGATTGACTCCGCAGTGATTGTTGACTTGATGGACGTGAAGCACAAAAAGCGAGGTAATCCTATTCGCGCGTGGCAAGAAGGCTGGAGTAATTGCTTCCGAAGGCAAATTAGCGTAGTCTATTCGGCCTTTGCTTTTCCATAGCAGACTCTGAGGGCATTGAAAAAGATGAAGTTGTTTCTTGTGTTCTTCGGATGGCGGAGTCATCGCCTGAGCGAGGCGAAATATTATGATTTCCGCATTATTCAGACGCGCTACCCTTGAGTATCCAAATATTGTAGTCGCTCTTGGTACCCTAACCGTTATGAATTTCAGAACATAAGCAAGAGTGTTTACCAGTTTGTTCCATGTGCTGAAACGAGATGCATCTATGATCATATTGTTCCATTTGTCATGATCACCATTTTTGTTGGATGAGAAGACACATATGCGAGGAGAATTGCACGAAAACGTTTGGGACTTCTTTTCTTCCTTTGCAGTTTCTGTGTTAGTGCTTCCAAAGGTTTCCATCAAGTTGGAAGGCCAGAATTCTGGTTTCTCCTGAAGAAATTTTGGTCCGCTCCACCACTGTTTGAACTTCGATAACTCTTCAACCGAAGCTCCTCGTGTTCCTACATCAGCAGGATTGAGTTCACCGGGAATATGTCGCAAAATGACATCTACGGTGTTTTCGTGTATAATCCTTACACGATTTTTGACGAAGACGGGAAGATCCCTATTGCTTTTAGTCCAAGCTAGGGATACTATGCTGTCGGTCCAAAGATACTTTCTTGAAATGCAAATGTCGAGTTGTTTCGTGATATATGTGAGAAGTTTTGCACCAATCATCAGCGCGGCCAGTTCTAATCGTGGGATTGTAATGGATTGATTGAGAGGAGCTGGATTTTGACATGAGCAGCGATATCTTTGTGGGTTTGTCAGTATGTCGTTGCACGATATAAGCAACCGCGCAATAGGCGTGAGCTGAGGCATCGGTAAACACGTGAACGTCAAAGTTCGCCGAAAAATCGTTCGGATCGATGATCAATCGTTGTACAATCAGCTCCGGTATTGTCCAGGAAGAAATTATTTGATGCCACTTGTCGTATTGCTTGTTAGGTAGGGTTTCATCCCAAGATAAGTCAATCTTCCAGAGTGATTGCAGGAAAAGTTTCGCAACGAGAAGGACCGGAGAAAATAATCCAATCGGGTCGTAGATTTGAGCGATATGTTTCAAAACCTTTCTCTTGGTCCATACGAAGTCGCACTTAGGCGTTTCAGGCAACGAAATGATAAGTGTATCATTCTCTGTGTTCCAGCGTAATCCGAGTAATTTCTGCATCTGTTGCACTTTACATCTTTCGTTTTGTTCGAAGAATTCGTTCAACTCCTTTGAGTTGCTTGCGTAAGCACGTAGATTCATCCCGGCTGCAAGAAATAATTTCTTTGATTCCCTGTAGAAGGTGACGCCGTCCTTGATTGTGTCTACTCCATGAAAGATGTTGTCAACGTAGGTGTTTTGAAGAAGATGTCGAGCTATATCAGTGGTAGTCGAAGACAGATGGAAATGTATCGTACCGGCCAAGAGGAACGGGGAGCAAATAAGACCAAACGGTACGCGTGCGAAACGATATGTGACTAGGTTTTCTGAGCTTATAGGCTTTAATGGGTCATCTAACCATAGAAAACGAGTATAGTCCCGCGAGTCTTCATGTAAGCCGACCATAAGGAAGGCTTTTTCTATGTCACTTGAAATCAATATCCTGTATAGTCTGCTCCGAATAAGAATCCCAGTGAGATCTGGCAGTAGTACGGGTCCGCGATATAAGATGTCGTTAATACTGAGGTGTCCTTTCAGTTTGGCTGAACCATCGAATACGCATCTTATCTTTATGTTTTCACCTTCTTTCTTGACAACTCCATGGTGTGATAAATAATGGCAAGAACTCGTAACATCGTTGGTTGGTACTCGCTCGATGATTTGCCTCTTGAGTTGGTCTTCGAAAATTTCATGATATTTCTGAAGGTAAGGAACATTCTGTTGCAGCGATTTATGCTGCGAGCACAAGCGCGAATACGCGAGAGAAAAGTTGGTGGGTAGTTCGGCTGGATTTATTTTGAACGGTAACTTCACGACATACCTTCTCTGCAATTCATCATAGTAGATGGTATCACTGAAGTGTTTGAGACACTGTTCATCATCCAGCTGAGAAGGGTCGTCTAATATCCCGACTGTTTCAAGTCTCCAAAAGTTGTTGACCAATTCAACAAGCTCCTTGTGATTTGGAGGACTTGATGCATCGTCTATCCCAGTGGTGGAGTTGACGGCAGTACATGCGATATAGTTTTTTGCTTTGAAGGCTTTGCCTACAATCATATCTCCGATAGCTGTATGCAAAATTCGATAACTCTTCGAAAGAGTTCTGTAATGGAAGTCTTCTGACAATATAATGTCCCAGAAATAGTCATTTCCAATGAGAATGGATGGTTTGCAGACAGAAAGGGTAATATTATCAGTTGATCCTTCCGGGATATGAATGCGCTGAAGGTTTCCAGTAAGTAACGGTATAGATTTAACCTGCAGGTGTTTCACTCCCTTTTCAGTGTACAAGCCGATTACGTGGTTTCGGCACTCCAGTTCCAGTGATTCGACTTTTCCAAAAGTGGAAAGGCTGATATGTTCGGTTCCTGTAGTAGGCAAATGGAGCATATTAGCAACCTCGTCAGTGATATATGACTTGTTGGAGCCACTGTCCAAGAAGGCTGTTACAGTGGTTTGATGCGAGCGATCATTTGGATTGAAGAGCGTTACAGTTGTGCACATTAGTGCTGTCTGAGTCGTTAGGTTTGTTACATTGTTGGTTGAGCAAGTAACAGGAGCTGGTATAGTAGGAACATCGATTTGTGTGTCAATTAGTTGTTCAGTCGGATTCGTAGAAGAAGTAATCATCTCCTTTTTGGGCTCTTCTAAATGCACGATGTGATTCTGCAGTCTTGATGATTGATTTGAAGAAGATATCACATTTTGGCGGCGCGGTGATTGTGTGGGAGTGTGATTATTGAGACCAGGCGATGTAGAAGCCGTGTGAAAGCGATTCGATCGAAAACACAATGAAGAATGGTGTTTTCTTGAGCAAAACATGCAGCGGTATTTAGACGTGCAATCCTTTGTATTGTGAGAAGTCGAAAGACAATTGAAACAAAGTTTCCGGCGTTTCACTTGATCGATACGCTCTTTCATTGTGGGGAAGGCGTCGCATTCTATTGCTAAATGAGCGGTAGAGTCACAAAATGGGCACTTACGGTGTTTTTTCCGTTCGTTTGGTACCTTGCGTGGCCGAGGCGCTTTGCTGAGCGCTACATGGAATCCTTGAGCTGGATTTCTTTGATGGGCAGGAGGACGTGCGTGATACTCCATTTCAAACAATGTAGAGTCCTTTCGAACAATGTCCGTCAGTAGGTGGAGCAATTCCGAAGGGGAGACATTGTGGTCATTTGAAGTGCGGTCATAGACCAGACTTCTCACTCGCAGAGGAAGTTTATTGAGAAGTAGTGCCCCAAGGGCAGTCTCAGAGGAGTCATCGTGATTATTTGCAAACTGCCGGACGAGGGAAAACATTTGATTGTATAGGTTGGGTAGATGGCGTCCCTCAGGATCGCAAGGTGGTAATTGCGCCAGTTTGGTGAAAAGTATATGCCGGACGGTTACCTTGTCATCGTAAAGTGTCTTCAGTATGTCCATGGCGATGTGATAGTTTTCGGCGGTCATGGAAAGTCCTTGGATGGATTGTAACGCTCTTCCGCGTAGACATGACTTCAAAAGTGAGAATTTCGTGGTGTCGTCAAGTTGAGTTTTATTGGCGACGAGGGTTGCAAAACGAGCACTGAATTCGGGGTAATCCAGTAAGTTGCCATCGAAGGTTGGCAGATCCAATTTTGTAAGTATTGAAGCATCTACAAAATTGAGCAGAGATGCATCTGGTGCGGAAACTGTTGCTCGAGTAACGCGTCGGTTTTGACGTCTGAGGTTGTCACCGGAATCGTCATCGTTATCCGCGAGTGTCCCATCAGATTCGGAAGGTGGATGCAGTTCTCGTTTTACGTATTCAGCGTCAAGAACATTCAAGACAGCATCAAACTGTTCGAGGTTGTTGACAGCGAGAGCGATATCTGTACGATAGTCTCCATATTTCGTAATGTAGTCTTCAAAGACCTTTTGCTCAAGTGGGTTGGAGTCTTGAAGTGTTGTCCAGTCATCATGGAGTTTTACAGTTTTATTGTAAGCCTTCAATAAGTTTGCTTTCGTAGATACGAGTTCAAAGCGGAAAGAATCCAAATCTTCATTGGTCAAATGGCTGAGAGTAGGTTTAGATGGTTCGACTCGGTATTCTTTGAAGATATCAGCAGCGGCTGAACAGTATCGTTGCAGTTGTCTTTTGAAAAATCCGATTTGTCTTCGAAGAACTACGCTGTCAGAAATTGGCATCTCTTGAGGCGGGTTGGGTTGGTCTCAGGAGCGTTGATGATTGGCGGATGAAGATGGAGAGTTGTCGATTGGAATTCTTTCGGTTATGGTTTGGAAAAGTGCAGCCGCACGTGAAGAGTAAGCGCAGTGGAAACTGACGGTGGCCCTTGCTGAGTCGTCGTTCCTTGTGGTGAAAAAGGTGCAATCCGCACAAACGATGGAGCAGGTGTGATTGAGTATCCGCTACGTGGTCGCCAATTGAGCTGAATAGGCGAAGAGAAGGACGAAACGTTTATTGCATAGAGCGATCAGCAAAAAACTGAATTCTCCCTCGACTTATATACCATGCATATTCGCTGCCGAGGAATACAAATGAATCGTTAGTGGCCGAGGATGCCGAAGAACACAAATGGATCGTTAATGGTCGAGGATGCCGAGGAATACAGATGGATCGTTAGTGACTAAATGGCTGAAGATGCCGAGGAACACAAATGGATCGTTAATGGTCGAGGATGCTGAGGAATGCAAATGAATCGTTAGTGCCGAGGATGCCGGCCTGATTTTCTGTAGCTTTACAGAAACCGGCTGAAGCCGGTTCCGCCTCAATACATGGTTCTCATGCATTCTTTTGAAAAGTCTGCTTTTGAGATCACCCAATATAGGCATGCCACTTTTACAGTCCAGCAATGTACAAACCACGGACGGGGAAAAGCCGACTTAAAACTCTATGCCAATTTTTTTGCACAAAATATCAAATTTTCATGAAGTAGTTAAGCAAAATCTCACTTTCGCTTTCTGGACAGCAGCGTGGAAAGCGGTGAAGTTAAAGCGTGAAAAGCGGTAAAGCGTGAAAACAGCTTAACACCTCTAAGGCAAAACGCTTCGACGCAAAATATCTTTCGGAACTAATTTCTTTGAATTTGTGGGTAGCTAATCAAAACGACTAATGAAAGCGGGGTATTTAAGCAAAATCAAACTTTCGCTTTCAAAACGGCAGCGTGGAATCATCAATCTCGCGGAGAAGCCAGCTTAGAACCACGGAGTTTATGCGTCAGGAACTTCTCCTCAAAAATCACAAGCTTTCCATACAGATTTTCGAAATCTCCCGAAAGATGCTCGAATTCAAACACTAACAAAATCCTACTTCCGTCCTTAAAGGCAGGGTCCACGCTGAACCTAACCCTTTCCGATTACCGTCGATCCTGAATGTAGGCCCCAGAAAAGGGGCATCTGCGTTGGTCCGGTCCTCTAACGTTGTCTCTGAATGGAGATAAGGGGCGTGGAAGTCCCTGGCTGGCTGATATCAGACTCCGCCCAGCCAGGGACTACCTCCCGACACGTCTTGACATGGTAGTGAGCAGAAGCTGCACACTGCTGAACTTCACCCATGCAGTTCCAGCTACTCCCCGCTGGCCTGCCGACGGGGACGAGCGATTCGAAACTCGTCCGCGCCCTCAAGACAGGGTTTCCAGGAATCGGATTTTTTGTGAGTTTTGGAGAGTTTGAAGTGCGAAACTGTAATCAGGGCCACGGAAAGGCCCCAGAATGACGGAAACATGGGGGGCCAAATTCTGGGTGGACGCTGCCTCTAAAGAAAAGAGGCAGGACGAACATGGTCTCGTTGAGAGAAAGGACCAGGAACCTTATGCGGCACGAACTTATTCTTAGGAACTGCAAGGTTTCATGGACAAATTTTGAAATATTGTCGAAAACTCCCAGGTTTTTCCAATGAGAAAATCCCACTTTTGTTCACAATAACAGAACAGTGTGAACATGGTCTCTCTGGCAGAAAAGACCACGGACTTCACGCGGCACAAACTTTTTCTTAGGAATTACAAGGTTTCACAGACAAATTGCGAGAAATTTGTTGAAAAATACTTCTTTCTTTTTCACTGAGAAAATCCTACTTTTTCCCCAAAAACAAAAGAGCAGGGCGAGCATGATCCCGCTGGCAAAAAAAACCAGGAACTTTGTGGGGCGGAATTTTTTTAGGAGCTCCAAGTTTAACAAACAAAATTTGATCTCGAAAGAAATTTAGGTTTTCTTTTCACTGAGGAATTCATACTCCTGCCCAAATAGAAAAGGTCAGGGCGAGCATGGTCCCGCTGGCAAAAAAACCAGGATTTTGTGGGGCGAAATTTTTTTAGGAGTTTCCAAGCTTTACTGACAAAATTTGATCTCGAAAAGACTTTAGGTTTTTTCACTGAGGAGTTCATACTCCTGCCCAAACAGAAAAGGTCAGGGCGAGCATGATCCCGCTGGCAAAAAAGACTAGGGGCTTCGGGGAGCGAAATTTTTTTTTAGGAGTTCTAAGTTTTACTGACAAAATATGATGTCGGAAGAACTTTCGGGTTTCTTTTCACTGAGGAATTCTTACTTCTGCTCAAAAAAGAGGGGCCAACACGGTCTCGTTGACAAGGACCAGGGACCTTATGCAACACGAACTTTTTCTTAGGAGTCTTAAGGTTTTACAGCCAAATTGCGAGAAATTTGTTGAAAAATACTTCTTTCTTTTTCACTGAGAACCCACTTTCTCCCCAAAAATAAGAGAGCAGGGCGAGCATGGTCCCGCTGGCAAAAATACCAGGAACTTTGTGGGGCGAAATTTTTTTAGGAGTTTCCAAACTTTACTGACAAAATTTGATGTCGAAAGAACTTTCGGTTTTCTTTTCACTGGGGAATTCATACTCCTACCCAAACAGAAAAGGTCAGGGCGAGCATCCCGCTGGCAAAGAAAGACTAGGGGCTTCGTGGGCGCGAAATTTTTTTTGTGAAGATTCTTAGGAGTGTTAGAAGATGTTGTATTTTTGTTAGGAAAGCTTTGGAGGTAATGAGTGTGTTCCACGTCCTGGGAAGAACAGAGGCCTCGAAGTATTATAGTCATTTGGATCAAGTGTATGAAAATTTAGAATTACAAAGAAATTCCGCTTCTCTCGAAAGAGCCGGTTAATCAATAAATTTCGCTTCACTTAAAAAAACCTTGAATTATCAAAACCTTTGGACCCATTGCAAGAATTTTTAGGCACAACAAAGTGGCGGTGGTTCTACAATAGGACTGAGAGGCGTTTCGCGAACTCCGTTTCTTTTAAGGAAAAGCCTAAAGATAAAAAGGAAATCTTTAGCGCTAGCAAAAATTTTATGGATTTAAAGGAAAGGCTGTCTTGTGGAAAAACTTTAATAATCGATGTTACCGCTTAACCTCTGATCATGCCTTCGATAGTCTAGAGACAGGGCGTCAAAAGTGAAGGTTGTTTGAACATCTGACGTCATAAACGGTGAAGGTTGTTTAAAGATGATCAGAGAAGAGAAAATGACATAAAATGGATACAAAAAGCAAAAGAAACTGCTGAAAATAGGATAAAAACGCTACAGTGAGGCTTGAAATCTTTTAATTGGCGGCTTTTCAAAGTGCAAGTCTTCGCTCCAGGACCAGCAATTCGTAACACGGGGTTTTGATTTTTGATGCGTCCTTTGCATTTTTGCCCCCGCATTGACACTCCTGTTTCCTGAGACGTTGTCTGGATTGTTGCGCTTATTGTTCTGAGCAACAATCGCCCAAGCTGGAAAAAAATCGATGCGAAGGCATTAAAACAGAACAAGGTAAAGAAAAACGCATTTTTTACGATTTTTCGCAAAAAAATCCACAATAATCGAAGAGATAAAGGCTGGGTGGTTGTCTGCATTATGAACAGAAGCAAGATCTATAGAATGCACGAAAAAACCGGGTAAAAAGAGGTAAACTAGAAGAAAAACAAGAGATTTTCGAAAACAAGGTATTTGCCGGATTTCTCGTCCAAATCAAGAAATGCGATTTTGGGACGTTGTCGGCGTGAAAATATAGATCAAGAGCTTCAAAATGACACATAGCTTGCTAAAATTGGGTGCGAAACAGCGATGAAAAGGGTACCAGAGCCAAATGCCCCGCGCCCCGCGTTTGGGGTAGCGAGGTAGCGCGCAGCGCGCGGAGACGCAGACGAGCAGCGGAGACAGACCAGAGCCGACGGGGCATTTGGCTCTGGTCGTAGATCTCCGCGGGGTCTCAACGAAGCCCTGTAACATTATATATCATTCTGACCGTCATGACACGACGGGGAGAGCTGACAACGTCCCAAGCTTTAAAAGTCACTTACTAACGAGATAGATCAGCAATTTCGTGCGCGACTCTCTGCGCACAATTAAGCGCAGTTTCTCATTTTAATTCAACTCCAACAGCTTTCCAAACTTTTGAAACTCATTTTTGGTCAAGTAGGAGGCTAACTGAGGAACTTTGTCCTGAATTCTGAAGAAATTTTCACAGAAATTCTCTTTTCAGCGTAAAAAAGGCTTTAAAAAAGCAATTTCTCGGTTTCGCTGAGACATTTTTCAGATATTCTTTCCTATATTTGGTTCATTCACATTCTTCCGATATAGTCAGGATTATAACATCCGTGGCTTCGCCCCGGATAACTTCTGTTTTTTCCCAGGTGAAGGTTGTGTCCCCCCAAAGCCCTCAAAGTGAAGGTTACCAGAGTACGTGGCTCTATGTATCGAGGGTATGCCTCTGATAGAACCTAAGGTGCGAAAGGAATTCGAATCGAATACACGGAATTTTGGAGAAGTGGTTGTTGGAACTTCAGAGGAATTTTGATCACGTTGCTAAGAAGCCTTGTTTGGAAAATATTTGCAGAACTTTCCGAGTAACCCATGGGTAATCGAGATTAACTTTGGTAAGACTATTAGTGCTCAAAAACGGTGCAGCAAATTGTGAATATTCTTTTTTGTCATTGTACCGTAAGCTGCAACATGAAGCAAATAGTTTTTGTTCAAATGTCCCTATTGTTAGTGTGCAAATAAGTTTAGCTTTGACTCACTAATGAATTGGCCTCAACCCACTTGCTAGCGACCCGTAGGGTCGCTAGTCTTATATATAAAGCTGAATGTCTGTTTGTCTGTCTGTCTGTCTGTATGTCTGTCTGTCTGTACGTATGTTCCGAATAGAAAATTCCATTTCTGAACCGATCGGGACCAAACTTGGCACACAT